TGCACACACATGCATACGTACACGCATGCGAACACCCATACACACACACACACACACACACACACACACACACTCTCTCTCTCTTTCTCTCTCTCTCTCTCCCTCATTCTCTCTCACCCTTTCCTCCATCCACATCTAGAATATAACCATAATAATACAAGTATGCACAAACAGACTCACAGTCACATGCCTAATGATATAAATGAACAATAATTGTAAACATGAATAGTATTAAGCTTGATAAGTAGTACTAGTACTCAGTATTCTGATTATAACTCAATGGTATTCTGCGCATTCTAAAGGTTATAGGAATACTTATTGTGTAACAAGATGATTAAGATGGTAGAGTTTAATGGATGATGGTAAGAATGACCTTCTGTACCTTTCTTTGTTACAGATCAGAAGCCTGGTACGAGGGGCATGCAAAAAGTTTTTTTTACCTGACTATGAAGGAATAATGGTACAAATCTGAAATTTGGGGTGAGAGCCAACAATGATCTTCCTAGAAAGCATGTAAATTTGGGGAAATTTCCAGCACACAATAAGTGAAAGGGGGTATGTTGTACTCCAGTTTCAACAGATTCAATTTTTCTTTATCTTGCTATCTTGTGTTCCCAACCCATGCAGTTACATAGAACTTGATCATCATCATCATCTGGTGCCTTGCCGACTGGCGTGGGCGATCATGGACCTCCACTTCACTCTGTCTTGCGCTGCAGCAATGGTGTCTGTTGTTCTTGCTGCTCCAAGCCATGTTGTCATCTTGTCCAGTATCTTTTCCCTCTGTCTGCCTCTGCCTCTCTTTCCATTAAACTTGCCTGTTGTTACAATATTCTCCAATGCTTCTTTCCGCATTGTGTGTCTGAAGAAATTTGCCTGTCACTTTCTTATATTCGTCATAAGCTGTCTTCCATAATTTGCTTCAACCAAGACTTCATTTGTTTTTCTAGCTCTCCATGGGATACGTAGCATGCGTCTTACGAACCACAACTCTGTCGCCACAATTGTTCTTTCCAGCTGTTTATTGATTGTCCACGTTTCGCATCAGTATAATAGGATTGGCTCAATGTAACTTTTCAGTACTCTTTTTCTCGTTTCCAGTGACAGATTGATGTTTGTTAGTATCTGTTTCATCTTATGGAAGGTTGCTTTTGCTTGGCAGATGCGGCTTTTAATTTCGGTGTGACATCTACCATCTGATGATATAATGGTCCCCAAATATTTAAAATGTTGTGCTTGCTTGAGGGTGGTATCATTGATTTTGATATTGCATGTTGGGATTGGAGTTTTTCAGCTGATCACCGATGTTTCGGTTTTCGTGATGTTTAGGCTTAAGCCCACGTTGTCACTCTCTTGTACGATGACATTTAATAGATTCTGCAGGTGTTCTTCATCTTTTGCTTTAGGACTGTGTCATCTGCATAACTTGATCATACTTTAAATTTTATTAATCATCTATTAAATTTGGGAAAGAAAATGATTGTCGAAGAAGAGAATCTATTTTTGCAACATAAGATGATTAACGCCATTGCTTTCTTACCGTTAGGCTCATTCTATCACTGCTAGTGTATTGTTACTCCACTTACAACAAAACAAACAGAAGAAACAGAGAAACCCCAATTATATATATATATATATTTGAAAAATATATTGGATGCATAAACAGGATCACTGAAATAAATGACTTACAGTCAATAAACTAGGGTCAGTTTAGTTTTAGTAAGCGTTTTATGGCGCTTGCAACACAATAATGTCATATAAGGGCTGAAGATTAGAGGTGTTACAAGAGAGAAACAAACATCAAAAAGAAGGAGGAGAGATAAAGACGACAGTTGTTTGATAGGAAAGAAGGAGCAAACCACACCAGAGCACCCGCCAACCACCCACAAACCAGGGTTGGGTTGATTTAAATCAGG